GAGAGAGAGAGAGAGAGAGAGAGAGAGAGAGAGAGAGAGAGAGAGAGAGAGAGAGAGAGAGCACGGGGGCACCAGGGGCTGTGACGTTGCATATCACAACGTCTGTTGCAGCATCTTGTGCAGCAACACTTGCATCAACAGTTGTGGYAGAAGCCCTAGCTGCAACGCCAGTTGTTGCAGTAAAAACAACCACAACAGTTTGTGATAACTTGTGGCAGCAGCAGAGGCGTCGGGCAARAGCTTGTGTGCACTTTTAGCAATGGAAGGGRCATCAGCATCTGCGGGCGAAGAGCGTGCAACGGGAAGAGGGACAGGGGAGTTCCTTGCGGACCCGAAACACGCATGGAAGCCGGGAGACCACTGCGTGTGRAATTGGTTGGCACGCGGAAGGTCAACAGGGGSGAAAAGCCATGGCGGGAAGCAGATGAAGTGCCTCCTGTGTGGACTTGTGTTCCCAGGCAACCGCGCAYGAGGGCTTGAACACTTCACGAAGAAGAGGCCGGCGTTGCGGTGCCCGAATGCCACCATAGCTATCTACAGGAGGCTGCGTGCTGCGAATGTGGAGTTGCCACTTGACGTCGAGGAGATGTTGCAGCGGGAGGATGAGGCTGCAGCACAGACCGTTCCAAATCTCCCTCTTCCTGCCATTTGTGCCGCTGATGACGTGGGTGGCGGACCTGGTGTGGAACAGCGGGAAGAGGGACCGACAATGACAGGTGCAACTATGACAGAGGTCACAAGGAGATCAGCACCAGCGAGGAGACAAAGGCAGATGCCTATAGATCGATATGTCCGCAACCCGCGCCAGCGGGAGATTGATTTAGCTGCCATGGACCTCTTCGCACAAAATGCCATACCATTCAATGTGGCAAAGAGCAGCAGTTGGAAAAAATTCTGTGAACTGTGCTTCGGGCCACAATCCGCAGCTCGCTGTCCATTAAAGCATGTCCCGTATAACGCACTACGGGAAGAACTCCTGGACTCCAGGAAACAGACGTACTTGGAGCGAGAGGCTAAACTACGGGTTGACTGGGAGAAGACGGGATGTACGCTCATCACAGATGGCACCACTGACATATGCGGTCGCTCTCTGCTGAACTACATCCTCGCAAGGAGAGACAGACCAGTCTTCATCAAATGTGATCATGTCAAGAGAAAAGACAAGAACTCTGCTGCAATGCTTGAGTCGTGGAAGACGTTCCTGAGGGAGAACAGGCAGGCCACAGCTATTTGCACTGACTCCTTCGCTTCAAACAAGGCAGCTGCAGAGGCCTTGGGTAAGGATCCGAAGTTTGCATATATCTACTGGATCCCGTGCACTGCACACTGCATGGATTTGTTCCTTCATGATTTGGGGGGGATGACATGGGCAAAGAAGATCCTTGACGAAGCAAATGAAGTCGTCAAGTTCTTCAGGATTCACAGCGCCCCACGGGAGATGCTTTTTGGGCATGGCAAGACTGTCCTAAAGAGGCCACAGACAACGAGATTTGGGACAAACTTCATCATGCTGGAACGGTTGAAGGAGAAAGAGGCGCGAGTGAAAGATACAGTCAACAACATGGAGTGGGAAGAGATGCAGTGGCCGTACGCCATTCGGGATAAGGCGTTGCTTGTTGAGAGATTGGTGCAGTCTACGTATTTTTGGAATGATGTTCGAATGATGTTCAATTTGATGGAGGGGGCGTTCTCGATATTGCGGATGGTTGATCGTGATGTGCACTGCATCTCCCGTGTTTATGACGCAGCAGTGGCGTTGAAGAATTGTGTGCTTGCAGCTCCGTTGACAGAGGGACAACGTGTTGAAGTGTTGAAGGCCGTGTCGAACAGGACGGATCAGCTCCTCAGCCCTGTGCACGCAGTTGCGAGATTGCTTGATCCCAATTTGCGTGACAGAGGAGTATTCAGCGATCTGACATTGATGACCCAATTTCGAGGCGTTGTGGAGCATCTCGTAGGCGCTCGGGGGACACCGCAGTACCAGGAGTGCGTTGACTTCTTGTATGCGTTCCAAAGGGAGCAAGGAATCTTTGGAGATCCAGAGGTGCAGCGTCGTGGAAGGTTGGACAATGCATTGGATTGGTGAGAGGATCACGGGAGAGGACACCCAACTTTGCAGCGGTTGGCACTGCGAATACTCAGCATGTGGACAGCCTCCTCCCCTGCAGAGAGGAATTGGAGCACATGGGCTCTTGTGCATACCAAGGATCGCAACAAGCTGGAGCATGAGAGAGTGGAGAAATTGGTGTACCTCCACTGGAACCTTCGATACGAAGGAAGGGTGCAGGGCAAAGCGACGAATAATAGTGGTTGGTTGGGCTTGATTAATGCTGAGACGGACGCAGACGATGAGGAGGATGAAACTGCAGCAGCGAATGAATGCACTGGTGGAACTACGTCAGCAATTGGATCAACATCTGTGGCATGACCCACATGCGGGGGCGGTGGAACAGCTATGGCACAGAGAGTCATAGAAAGGGAGTGGGAGGAGGGGGATTGGAATGATGAGTCGTCGTCAGAATCATCGGACGAGGAAGAGGAACTAGAAGACATGTGGAGGTCTGACAAATCTGACTCTGACGAGTCGTGAACAAGGGAGGGAGCACATTCTTCCATACAAAGAGGGCACACATAGAAGTGTGCGATTGGAGGAGCAGCGACAAGATTTCCCGCAACAGCAACGGCAACAGCAACAAGCAGAAGTGGCGGCACCAACAATAGCACCAGCACCAGCAACAACAAGAGCAGCAGCGTCAGCAACAGCGACAACAGTAGCACTGACAGCAACAGCGACAATGGCAAGAAGCGCAACTGCACTGACAGTAGCAACAACAACGACAACAGCAACAGCAACAGCAACAGCAGTAGCAGCAACAAGCGCAACTGCACCAGCAGCAACAACAACATCGATTGTAGCAACAACAGCATCATCAGGAGCGCCACCAGCAAGAACAATAGCAGCGGCAACAATGGCAACAAGCGCAACAACATCAGCAGCAGCAACAACAACGGGAGCAGCACCAGTGGCATCAATAGCAGCAGCAGCATCAACAGCAGCAACAGCAGCAGTAGCAACATCCGCAACAGCGGCAGCACCACCATCAACAACAGAAGCAGCAGCAACAACAACAGCAAGCACAACAGCGGAAGTAGCAAGAACAACAACAAGAGTAGAAGTAGCAACAACACCAACAGAGATGCAGCACCAGCAACAACATCAAAGGCAACGCGAGCGGCAGCAACAGCAACAGCAGCGAGCTCAACAGCAGCACCTGTTGGAGGAGCAGCAACACTTGCAGCAGGGGGTGCATGAGCAGGAGAAGCAACCGCACGAGCCGCAAACCCTGCCACTTCAGGTGGGTGGCATCTCTGGGTTTTATGGTTCAAGCCCCCCGAGCGCTAGAGCAGACAGACCAAATCTGGAGGCGGAGGATCACCGACGCCTTGAAACACATACTTTACGTCCCTGCTCCTCGCAAGGCCTGTTAGGGAGAGCATCACACCCCAGCAGGTTGTGGGAACCTATTGCTCACAGAACAGGGCGTGGCAGGGGTCGAGGTGGAGGCCGAGGCGCACAGGAAGCAGTTGCTGTTGCTGCAGGTTGTGGTGAAGAACCAAAAAAGCGGGGGAGGCCAAAAGGGAGTGGGACCAAACGCAAATCTCCCACCGCAGTACCTCCCACAACTGATCCTGATCCTGTATGTGAAAGGCAAGGCCCCGACAGTGGATGCTACAAATGACTACGACTCGGACGAAAACTTCCCACTACATGAGCGTAAGCGCTTGCGTGCTGCAGCTTCTGCAGCGGAAAAGTGTGGTAGAGGTGCAGTAATCAAGGAGCGTCAGCAACAATGATTGAGAGAGAGAGAGAGAGAGAGAGAGAGAGAGAGAGAGAGAGAGAGAGAGAGAGAGAGAGAGAGAGAGAGAGAGAGAGAGAGAGATGTGTTCGAATGTGGATCGATATTGGCCATGTGCAGCTGATATGCTGCTGAAGAACTCAAAGATTTCCTACAAGTTGTCAGTCTGTAAGTCTTCTTCTTCTTCTTCTTCTTCTTCTCCATCTTATCAGTCTTCTTCTTCTTCTTGTCAGTCTGTTTCATTTTTTGTCAGTCTTGTTCTTCTTCAGAACACATGCATGAAGCAGACATCAGAGCAGCAGGCAACAAACATGCAGAGCCCCCAACCCAGTACATGGCAGATGACATACATTCAGCATACAGCAGGCAACATACATGCAGAGCGTCCAACCCCCAGACACCCCCCCAACCCCAGCACCCCCCAACCAGATCAACCCCCCACCCAAAAACAAAAATTTTATTGCAGATTCGGGGTCCTCTTGTTGAGCACAGAACGACCCCAGTTTTAATAAATAAATAAATTCAAATTCTGGGCGTTTTTTGGCACTCCCGGTTTACCCGGGCGGCATCCTCACTCAGTTTAATTGGGGTTTCCTTGGGGCAACACCTCCTCTTTTACTATGCTTTGCACGCATGAGTGTGTGTGTGTGTGTGTGTGTGTGTGTGTGTGTGTGTGTGTGTGTATTATCACATTCGCTAGACACTCAAAGAAGCATAATTGTGCCAGACTGTTTCGTCGGACTTCCACTGACCCATCAGGAGGTTGAACTCCGACTGTTTGCCCAGGATGTATTTGACTGACAGATAAGGACTCACCACATCGCACAGAGTTAGGGATACCCCTGTGAAAAGCGGTCGACTTTACTTACATCAACCTTGCAATCCTAGCAGACTGTGTGTGTGTGTGTGTGTGTGTGTGTGTGTGTTCGTGTACAGGGTCTGCCATGTCATCTATCAGGCAGCACACAACGCTGACGTGGCACGCCCTCTACCTGGCTCTCACGTCAGCAGCATGTAGAGGGTCTGCCATGCCAGCCTGTGCAAGGCATGTTAGTGCTTGTGATGTCCACACAGACTCGGCAGTAAATAATGTTGACAAGGCAGACCCTCTACCTACCTCGCACGTCGGCTGTAGGTAGAGGGCCTACCACAGCAACTCTCCACCCAAACAAAAACATGTCAGACCGGGGTGGCAGAAACGAGCAAACTTGATAAGAAAAAATAGCCCATGGCCCAGTGCCAGGCTGTAGTCAGTTGACAGTGAGGCCAACAGCAGCAGGGGCCTGGGGGTTGTTCAAGGGCATTTTTTCGTCATACTGCCCCCATGAATAAGTTTTTTCGAGTGGGGAACAAGCAACTTGAGAAGAGAAAATAGCCCATGGCTCAGTGCTAAGCTGCAGTCAATGGACTGTGAGGCAATCAAATGATTTGAAGAGGTGTACCCCACGGGAGTACCGAATTAATTTTGCTTTTGTCAGATGATTTGAAGAGGTGTACCCCACGGGAGTACCAGATTAACTTTACTTTTGTCAGATGATTTGAAGAGGTGTACCCCACGGGAGTACGAGATTAACTTTGCTTTTGTCAGATGATTTGAAGAGGTGTACCTCACGGGAGTACCGGATCACTTCCTAGACCTAGCCAGTAAGGTAATGAGAAAACTGCACGACAACCTTCCATCACCAACGCCGCAATCAAGCAGACATTTTCATCAACTTGTTACCTTAGTCAAATGAATGGCAGGGTAACTTCGTACGGCAAGCACCCCATCATCCAGTTTAGTAAACAAATACAAGCCGTATGACGACCCTACGAGAGCCCCCATCACACCGCTTTATCTTTCAAACCCAGGCAGACTAGGTTACTTTTCGGTTCTTCCTAGGTTCCTTTCTTCCATCAGGCAGGATTCTTACCTTAATCATACGTTCATTCAATTCTTCCCGAAGGTTTTACTCCTGAAGAAAACAAAGGGATGCATAACATGCACCCATACATGCATTCTGATAGAGAGTTGTCGCCAGTAAGGGATACGGGAAAGGAATAGGTGGCGCATACCTCATGGTTCCCTGCCTCCAGAGTTCCTCCTAAACTCTGGCAGAGCTCCCGCCATCGCCCTATTACTGGTCACACCTAGTCTATGCAATGGATTGTCTGAATTTCTAAAGTTAGCAAAACCCGAAATTATTTTAGTGAAAATCATACCATCGGACATCTATGGTCGCAGAGATTGGTATTTGAGAGGATCAACCTACGATGGAAATGGAGGAGGATGGAGGAGGCAGGCACCATCACACGGTGATAATGCCTCTCTCCTCTCTGATGGCCTGCATCTCCGTCTCTGATCTTTGTTTAACATATGATGTCCAAACAATAGCAATAACAAAATAACATGAGTAATAATAATAATAATAATAATAATAATAATAATAATAATAATAATAAATAATAATAAAATAATAAAATAATAATAATAATAATAATAATAATAATAATGACAACAACAATAATAATAGTGATAATAAATGGAAGTAGTATCTTGTCATCATTTCTGCGTGGATGCGCGCAAACTCGGCCGAGGCCGAGGCCACGGGATCCGCTGCCGAGGGTGCCACGTAGCTGCCAGCCTCTACCACAAAAACTGCGATCCTTTGTTCTTGTGCTCATCTCCCCCACCCCTTGATTGTTACCCAGCATGCCGTTGTGGCCTTGATCTGCCATGCTTGAATAATTGCACACGTCAGCCTTCTTTACTAATGACATGTCGGCAACATGCCAAGTGTCGTCAATGTTTCCAGAAAGCTGTCATAGAAAGTATATGTCTCTACTGCGTGGACTATCCCTGGTGCCATCATCCACCACATCCTCTCCTAGCATGCCCCACATGCGGCATTGGTCATACACCTACTGCAACCGCAGTTGGAATTCCTTCTTCCTTGCCTGACGAACGAGAGACACAACAGCCTGAAGAATAAAATAGATTACCAGACTATGAACCATGTACAGAGCGCTGTACGGATAGGTTGTCTGAACTTGTCTTCACCAGGGCGAGCTGTTGCAGACCAATCCTGCAGCAGCTAAACACCCTTGCTTTGGATCAATCTACCCCGTCGTCATCTACCCATAGAGAAGGAATAAACATAGAGGAAACCCAAGAACTTGCTCCATGCCACTCTGTGATGACCCACCGGCTATGTGTCCCCTTCGGCCGCGGGCCCGCGGCCTAGGCCGTGCACCCGAGTTTGCGCGCGGCCGCGCCAGGGTCAGGAGGGGGCGCTCGCTGAAAACGGTGCGCGCGCCGCCTGCGACCACTACCACCCTATAAAAAATATTTTTTTTTTTTGAAAATTTGC